ATGTTTGACTAGAGAATGCAGTACAATTTTGACTAGTAAGATACCCGACAGAATGAAGAACCCTGGGAGTTTCACAATCCAAGTGTCTATTGAGGGTCATAAGATTGGTCAAGCCCTATGCGATCTAGGAGCAAGTATTAACCTAATGCCATTATCAGTATATAAAAGGTTGTGCATGTGAGAAGTGAGGCCGATAACTGTCACCCTACAACTAGCTGATCGGTTAATTGCAAATCCAAAAGGAAAAATCGAGGACGTATTGGTACAAGTAGATAATTTCATTTTTCCTGCTGACTTTATTGTACTTGATTTTGATACAGATGAAGAAGTACCAATTGTTATGGAAAGGTCAAATCTAGCCACAAAACGAGCTTTAGTGGACGTGCAAAAGGAAGAAGTCACTATAAGGGTGCATGATCAGGAGATAAAGTTTTATATGTATGACTCAATGAAATATCTAGTGGATGATGAAAAATGTGTTGTCCTAAGAGTACTAGATGAAGCGGTGATGGCGACGCTGAGCTCGGAGGTTATGCGAGAGCACTGTTCGTTTCCTTACAACTAAAGGAAAAATAGTGCAAGTATACACTAAATAATTAATTGTAGTATATAAACAAGGACATCTCCATAGGGATTACAGTTTTACTTGAAATAGCAACTAAGAATACCAAAAAGTAAAATAAAAATAATTTGTTTAGAATGGTCTGGATGCTGTAACAGTAAATGATAGAAACAGTAAAATGAGCAAGAATAGAAATATTCTGCGATTCTGCTCTAGAGCATCCGAAAACGGAAAATAAGCAGAAAATATGAAAAAGATGCGATATGAATGTAAATCGAGGGGGAATCACTCTAATGCTCTCACTCACGTCTAGATATGCTCTAGTCAACTCAAAATTCTGAATGCCCAAACAGACATGGCTTATATCGAGATACCCAAACATATTTAACCCCAACTCCCGTTGTAGACTAAACAAGCAATGCATACAGTTTATAGGCACAAAAGAGTGAGTCTCATCTCTGAGTACTCACCATTCTATTTCAAAGAGAGAAATCTAACGCAAATAGAGGCAAACACACAACACAAAGACTTTCCCAAGCCTCAAGTGAGCATAACAAACTAATAATGTTGGCCAACCAAAATCAGTAAGATGAAAGAATAAAAACACTTCTATTAAATCAGCATAAATATATATGAGTTACTAAAACATAAATAGATGAGAGCTACAGTGAGTTCATCCATCCAGAAGGTGGGGTTTAGTTCATAACAAAAGAAAAGAGAATAGTGGGTAGAAGAGAAATGGACTCCATCGGTGAAGAAGATAGAAGAGAAATGGAAGCTTCTTGGGCAGCAAGATGATTGAGCCAAAGAGAATCAGCCACGTCCTTTAGCTCATTCTTCTATGAGAAAAGGTAGAGAATGTTCTCTTTTTTCGATGCCCAAATGTTTTTTCTATTCTGGGGCTCTCTGTGGCGGCTGGGCATTGTTATGCTATTTATATCGGGTCCATAAAATTAGAGCTGCACCAGGAAGCTGTACGAACGCGGTAAAATTGGTGCAAATAAGTTACTGCACAGTCATACGCTCTAAAGCGTCTTGAGCGACTTCATGCTGCAGCATAAATGCATTTTCCTGCCATGCTCCAGCAACACTTTTACAATCTTGGAAGCACTTGGCTTGGCCTCAACAAATTCTCCAATTCCTACAAGAAACATCCATAATTATGCATAATTAATTTAAAATGAGGGAATTGAGAACTCCAAAAGCTCAGGGACCTAACTAAATGATTTCTTCTATTTTTCATGGTCTTTTGATAAGGACTCTTACATTTACCCACCGAAATTGCCCAAATTATACCACAAAACACTCTCTTATGGAGAGCTATCACACCCTCAAACTTAAAACTTTGCTTGTCCTCAAGCAAGATTAACTGTAGCATCCGTGAAATATGAAAGAACCTACATCTAATGAACATACATTTTGCATCAAGCACTGCTTTCTGCTTTCACACATACTGCCAGCACATATTATAGCCTATGAATCTGTTTTCGCTAAAAACATCTACAAGAGAGCAGCTAAATCCTTGTTCCATCTCTAGCAAAGGCTATTTCCTACGGCTCTAGCATCATCCTGCTTTCCTTTTCAAAAACTTCAACTCACCTAATGATACACTTCTCAAATTCCCTTTCACTCGCCTACACCACTACCCTTTTATTACCATTCTAGCTTTTCAATTATGGGCTACTAGCCTTTCGTAGCCCTACAGCCTTCTTGAATT